ATTAAGTATTACTAAAACATTTGTCTTCCTTCTGGCCTGTGCTTCTTATGGCACGACCAGCCACGCCGGGAGTATCTAAATACCCTCCGTTTGGCTAGTAGAACACGAACTGGGCTGCTTGTGGCACCAATTCCCCATACGTCAGTGGCTCACTAGAACGGCCACCAAAGGAGTGCCAAGGCAATTTCTCCTTACGCAAGGCATCAATAACTTAGTCCTTTCGTGAAAATGTTTTTATCCATCCCCCTAGGAGGTGGTATGGGATACCCCTCGTCCTCTCCGAGTGAACCTCGGAACTCAGAAGTCGGTCTGGCTCCACCGCAACAGCATGATACCCCCCCCGCCAAGCGGTCCACTCTGAGTCGATAACAGGTCTGGCCCCTAAGGCAACGAACCCCCGCCCCAGATCCCTAGCAAAAGGAAAAACATCTACACGGCGGGCAAAAAAAACTCTTGCCGCCTGACGTTAGGAGCTACTTAGACGAAGTAAAGAATATTGTAAGAAAATAGTCATTCAGACGGACAGGCGTAGATAGAGAAGGTAATTCGGGAAAGAAATGGTAACCTTGGGGAAATAGTCTAAGTTTAATTGCGTTCCTCTTCTTTGTGCCCGCTTCATTTTCGTCGTCTTCTTTTCCCTTTAGTTTACACGCACTCACAAGTAAAGAGGTGAGAAAAACAACCATTCTTTCACCATCATCATCCTCATCCATCTTAGCCCACATGCCGTACCTGCAATCAAAGTCAGATCACACATAGACCACCATACACTCCTTTGCCATCGTCACACTCCTCATAACACACGCAAACACACATTCCCTTTCCATTTCCAATGAACGTTCAGAGAACCAAGGTCAAGCAAGTGTGGGTTCACACAGGTGTGGAGGGAACTGAATCAGATTAACTGACCTTGAGTGAAGTTTGAACGGTACACTCAAGAAGACCATATAAAATTTTCGCCCTTTTGACGAGAAGGTCGTCACACCCAGTTGTCAGCAAAGTGATCGACACCACTTCCTTTGACGACTGCTTCACAGAGTACCCTCTCCCCACCGATCACCTTCCAATAATCCGGTGGCGTTTTCTCATTACCGCCACTTGGCTCTAAAGCACGGTGTCTCTGCGGCGTCACCCTCACGCCACTTCAAATTAAAACACCGCTTTGACGCACCTCTTCTGTGTCAACGTCCCACCTCCACTTAGTGCAAAAATATTGTCGTTACTGTCGTGAAAATAGTGTCGTCGCTGCAGAATCCGATACTGACGCGGCAAAAAAATCCGCCAGCGCTTCCGCACTACCGCCGTTAAAACCGGAGTTGCCGCCGCAAAAATCTCGCAGCGTTTCCGCACCACCGCCGAAAAAACCTGTATCGCTGCCGCAGAATTTCGTCAGCACTTCCGTACCACTGCGCGCACCACCGCCGTAAAAACCGTGTCGCCTCCGCAGAATTCCAGCAGCTCGTCCGCCGTAAAAACTCGTGTCGCCTCCGCAAAATTTCGGCAGCACTTCCGTACCACCGCCGTAAAAACCCGTGTCGCCTCCGCATAATTTCGGCAGCACTTCCGTACCAACGTCGTAAAAATAGCAGGCCAAAATTAGTAAAATTTGGGCCCCAGGCCCAAATTTCACTGTGCCGCACTGCCGTAGTCCCGCAGTGTTACTGGGTCTGTCCCGTGGGACCAGCACCAGCCAGAGGGGAGTGGAGTAGAGTGCTCCCTGCCTTGGCTATGGCTGCCCAACTGTCTTTGCGCTCCTCTGCAGATCTCCAACCTCTCCTTACGTTGCCTCAGGCAGCAACTCCAGCAGCCAGCAACACTCAAGTGTGCTCGTCACACATTGGCATCACGAGTGCATTGTGTGGCAGCTGGGGCAGCTGCCTGTTTTATATTGGCTGAGGAGGGCTGGACGTCACTCCAGCCCCCAGGCAAAATCGCGGGCTCACAGGCAAAATCGCGGGCTCACTGTGAGCCCTTGATCTGGCCAAGATCCAGGGTTAACTGTGGTCGCACCACAACCACAACCTTAGTGTGGGGCAGTTTCTTTAATTGCCCTTATTTTATTTTTCTTTTCATTTTCCCAGCTATCTCGGAATCTCACGAGATAGCTGAGCTCCTGCCATTTCCAAATCTATTTTTCTTTTAATTTTCTGATAAGGGGTTGGAGAGATACAACCACTTAAAGTTTGATGTATTTGGATCCTTTTCCCAGGGAAGATACATCGGGGAAAAGGTTGTACCTAACCTTTTTCTTAGTGGCTTTTCAATTTCCAGGCTCCCTTCAAAAATGGGAGCCTGACAGTTACCTCTGGCAGCTTCTGCTAGAGGTAGCACCACGTGAGGACAAGTGTCCTCCCATAAAATAAAGAAAAGAACAAAAGAAAAAAACTAACTTCTAATTTTTATTGCACCTGGCTCTTACCTCAGCCAGGTGCATGTTGTTGCATGCAACAGCCTCTCACTTTTTTCTCTGCCCTCCCCTGAAAACGAGGAGGGCAGTTGTCAGTTTGGGAGGAGTAGGACCTCCTCCTCCCAACTGCCTCGTTCTTCCTTCCTTCCTCTCTCCATCCAGCTTCCCTTTCCCATTCTCACGCGCTCACTGTAGGCCGCGAGATCCTAGATCTCACGGCCACTAATATTCGCATCAACCCATAGTGGGAGCTCATCTTGCTCCCATACAGTCGAAAAGACTGTTCTTCTTTTTGTCCCCACGAGGCAGTTGCCTCGTTTTCGTTTTCGTTTTTTTTTTTTTTTTGTTTTTTTTTTTTTTTTTTTTTTTTCAGCCTCTGAGTAGACGACTGTTGCTCCAACAACGGCGCTTGAGGCAACGACAAAAGGGAAGGGACAAAGTGGGGTAGAGTATATTTCCACTTTCTAGTGGAAGATTCATTCGATTTTGCTCATCCTGTCGTTGGATGTTTTCGAGGGACCAGCCACAAGTAAGGTGGCAACCCCCCCCTTCTCTCTCTCTCTCTCTCTCTCTCTCTCTCTCTCTCTCTCTCTCTCTCTCTCTCTCTCTCTCTCTCTCTCTCACCTGGCCACTTTCAGCGCCAGATTCAGGCACAGTGGCAGACCGTCGGGGTTGCAACCCTCTGATGAGTTGGTGCAAGTCCGATGAAACGGTCTGGCACTTGCCCATTTCAATGACGCAGTTCCCCACAGCAGTGCCACAGTGCATCTTCCTGCATTCTAGGGGTAAGTGCACGACTTGTTGTGTTTGCCCGTTCGTTTTTCAATGAACGGGCGTTATTCAGCTCGTGAGAGAAATTGAGAAAAGAAAAAAGGAAAAAAAAAAAAATCTAAACTAAAGAATCTGAAAGGAAATCTAAAAAAGTCTTAAAGTAAAAAAATCTAAGAATAACAAAAAAAAAGAAACAAACTTACCTACAAATGGCATCCCGTTTTCAACGGGCGCCTGATACGTCCTCTGGGGACACTAGGTCCCTTGCCACTTGGCTGAGCGCCATCTGGCGTTGTCGTTAGTTTAGATTCCCTTTTTTTTTTTTTTTTTAATAGTTTTTTAGGTATGCCGTTGGCATAAACCAACGGCCTCTGCAGTCTTGCGCCAACCTAGCTGGCATCCCCCCTCCTTCCCTCCTGTGATATAGACCCGAGTTCGATCCCTTCGGGGATCGAAAAAGAAAAAAAATTGAACCTTTTCTCGATTTATGTGTGTCATCCTTGCGTAGGGGCCATGCTAATCTCAACGCGGCCGATCTAGGCCACGCGATCCTCCAGATCGACGGCCAGATGGCCAACTCCAAAAGGAGCCAGCCCAGTGGTGTTTACAGTTTTTCAGATTCGATTCCGGTATCTGTCGGTTGAGAGTCGAGTGCTGTAACCTACTGGGCTAGCTCCTATCACGACAGTGATAGGAGCAACTCTTCTCTAAGAAGAGCTCGCCCAATTGCTACCCCCTCTACCTGTAGCTTTGCAAGCTCCGCCCCGCCTGTGGCCTAGCAGGCCTGCCCCGTCTGTGGCCTACCGGCTTACCTTCCCGTGGCCTAGCCATATCAGTTAGCCGCGTGACCGTGGCTTGGTCAGACATCTAGCCGGGTAGGCCTTGGCATCAACCTATCGGCCCCCAGGCTCAAAGTCATGCCTCGCGGCCCCAGAAAAATAAAAACAAAACCTCCTATTCCTCCTACGTCGCGGCCCCATACCCGGTGCAACCCTCTTTTTAGCCCATTTAGGCCCTGCATCGTGCGGCTTAGCAGCCGCGTGACATTATTTTAGGTAGAATAGGTTTAATTTTAACATTCCCATGTCCGCACGTTCCTACTGCTTCGACAAGCGAAGCATTGTCGTTCACATCCGTTACCCCCAGACGTCACACGCGTCCGGGCTAAAGTCTGAAAACTCTTAGTTCCTTAGTCATGGGTCAGGTATGAATAAACTTTTGGCAAACGTCAGTCTCATAAAGTCCTTCAATTCAACGAAAAGGTCAGACAACGTCCGATGTTGAAAAAACCCCGGCAAATACCCTTGTCAGGGTTTTTGCCCCGACAGCACCCAACGCTGGAGACTACAGCTACCTACTGCGCCCAGCGCTGAAGACTAAAGGCTAACGCTACTACTACCCTGCAGCGCTCCCTCCATAGTGCTGCTGCCGAATCCTGAAGACTACTACTACCTCCTGCGTGCTTGTGAAGTGCATGGGAAGTTCCTATGTACTCCCTCGGCCTGCCTCCTGACTGCCTGAAGGGCGAGCCACGCCGAGGAGGCTGCTCTTGCCAATGCCGAAGTGTGCCAGGGGCTGGTGCTGCAGCAGCTGCTGAGGCTGGCGTTGGAACAGGCTAAGAATAGCCTGTTCCCGAAACCCTGGTTCGGTGCCTGAGTTTCAGGGCCGATCATTCTGATGAACGACCGAAAATGGCCCTTCGTTCAGGCTAAAAAGGCTATTGCCATTTTGAGTCTGGAACGACACAGGGACTGTAGGCCCCTGTTTTCAGGCTTTCCGGCTGAACAGTTGCGGGGCCTGTAGGCCCTGGTTTTCAGGCTTTTAGCCTGAATTTCAGGCTTTCAGCCTGAGGGACGCAGGGCCTGGAAAATTGCCCTCGTGTGCAGGCGCAACATGTAACACCCCCCCTCCTTATGAAGTCAAGCCGGGGCGAGGGCGAAGCTGACGATCTGAAGGTGGAACCTGGACGCGGGCGAGGCGTGGAGCCGAAAAAAACGGCTTGCCTTGCATCTTGCATTCGTAGCCGGCGAAAACGTTTGGAGTTGTTGCTTGAAGCTCCGCACGGGTCAACCAACGGTCAGCTCGGTGTGTGCAGTATGCAAAATGCACCAAATACTCGGTTGGCCTGTTGTCGTAGCGTCGCTGGGAGATGATGTTGCCGACCTCCTGAAAACCATCCATGGAGGGTGGGTCTTGTGAACGTCTCCCAGGAAAATCGTCGTGTTCTGCTGGCGTGTAAAGAGCCAACTTGGAGCAATGAAAGACTGGGTAGACGGGCAAGTGGGCGGGCACCTGAATCGTGAAGGAAGGTCCCTCAGGTGCGTTGCCAGCGGGTGCCACGATGGGCCAAGGGCCCATCCATTTCGGGAGGAGCTTGCGAGAGATGTCTTGTTCAAGGCTGAATTCCGCTGCGGAAACCCAAACGAGGTCGCCTGCGCGGAATGGGCAAGGAAGACGCTGGCGATTGGCCTGCTGGCTCATGCGCTGCTGCGTCTTAGCCATCTGGTCGCGTGCCTTGACAAGAAGCTCTTGCATCCGACGCAAGAAAAGAAGATGGTCGTCGCTCTTGGCCGTTCGTGGAGTAATAGTGTCCAACGGTGAAGTGACCGGCGAGCCGTGCTCGATTTTGAAAGGCGATATCCCGATAGCCGGGTGGATGGAAGAGTTGTAGGCCAACTCGACATCCAGCAGCCGCTCAACCCAGTCCTTTTGGTCAGGTCGAATGAGAGTGCGAAGGAGAACTTGTGCGGTCTGGTGCGCCCTCTCCGTTTGGCCATAGGTCTGAGGGTGGCGAGCTGAACTGGGCTTGAGAGATGAGCCCCATCGCTTGATGAGCGCCAACCAAAACTCGGACATGAACCGAGTGTCACGGTCGCAGACGATTTCCTTGGGGTAACCCTTGGTTCGAATCCAACCGGCGTAGAGAACCTCGACCAACTTCGGTGCCTCGGCATGATAGCGACAAGGCAAAAACATGGCGAACTTGGTGAGTTGGTCGACCATCGTGAGAATCCCATCCACTCCGGTCTTGTGCTTGGGGAACGGGCCGGTAATGTCCATGGCAATCGCTTCCCTTCGCCTCAACGGGACCGGTAATGGTCGTAACTCGCCGTACGGACGATGGTTGCAGGATTTGCAGCGTCGGCAAACCTCGCATGACTCGCAATAGCGCGTGACGTCGCCGAGAAGGTCGGGCCACCAAAATCGCTCGCGAAGTCGGCCAATCGTGTGATTGACTCCAAAGTGTTCGGTGGCGGGAGCATCGCGGAACTCGCCAAGAAGCCGTGTACGCAAGTGAGGATCACTCGGTACGCAAAGAAGGTCCTTCCCCCGCGTGTGGACAAGCAAGTACCCCTCTTGGATCCGGTAGTGAGAAGGCGCCGGATTAGGAGAGGAGCAATTCGCGTACTTGTCGTGAAACTCGGGGTCGACTTGGTAGCCGCGGATGAAGCTGTTCCGCAGGTCATCGTCGATCTTGAAGGTTGAGTAGACCGCGGTACAATGATCCGGACGCCATGAAAGAGCATCCGCAAAACGGTTCGACTTCCCGGGAATGTGATCGGGAAAGAAGTCGAACTGGTCGATGAAAGTCATCCATCGAGCGATGGTGCTGTTGACGGTGTCTTGGGTCTTATAGAAGACCAACGGATTGTTGTCTGTTACCCATCGAAATTGGCTTCGACCAAGGAGGAAGTGCCGCCACCGCTTGAGCGTGTGGACGAAGGCGAGGAGCTCCTTGCGTGCATCGTCAATGGAATGCACGACGGGCACTTTCTTGCTGAAATACTCGACCAGGTGCCAGTCCACACCATCATGTTGCTCGAGGACGGCACCAATGCCATAGCCGGACGCATCCGTAGTGACGCGCGTAGGCAAAAGCGGGTCGTATATGCGCAAGACCTCCGCTGATAACAACGCGGCTTTGAGAGCCAAAAATGATTCCCGCGCCTCCTCTCCGAAGTCAAACGGTCGATCCTCGCATTGAAGCTTGGTCAAGTGGGCTGCGATCTTCGAGTAGCCTTTGATAAAACGCTGGTAGTAGCCGGCAAGGCCAAGGAACGAACGGACATCCGTGACGTTCCGAGGCTCCGCCCACTCTTGGATGGCTTGAATCCTGTCCGATAGTGGACTGATGCCCTCCGGTGTGACAGAATGGCCCAAGCATTCCAGCTCTTGCCGGACAAATTCGCACTTGTCGCGGTTGGCCTTGTACTTGGCGCGGCGGAGCGTCTCCAACACTCATCGAAGATGCCCAAGATGATCCTCCAATGATCGACTATAGACGAGAATATCGTCTACGTAGACCAGCACGTACCGGTCCAACATTGCACGGAACTCATTGGTCATTGCCGCTTGAAAGGTCACCGGGGCGTTGGTGAGGCCAAAAGTCATGACCACCCACTCAAAATGCCCGTACCGCGTCTTGAACGCGGACTTGTAGCGATCATTCGGCCGGATCGAGATTTGATGATATCCTGATTTCAAATCCAACTTAGAAAAATACTTTGCGCCGCCCAGTCGCTCAAGAAGATCGTCGATGCGAGGAAGAGGCCCCGCATTCTTGACGGTTTGTGCTTTGAGCTTGCGGTAGTCGATACACAATCGTAGATCCTTGTTCTTCTTCCGGACGAAGAGAACCAGTGCTCCATATGGGGAGCTACTAGGGCGGATCCAGCCCTTGGCCAACAAATCGTCGAGTTGTGCGCAGAGGACCTCAAGCTCCTCCTCGCTCATCCGATAGATGCAACCTTTCGGCGACATGGCACCGGCCTCAAGAATGATCTCGTGAGAGATCGGCCGGTCTGGCACCACACCGGTAGGTGACTCGAAGATGTCGGCGAACTCGTCCAGCAACCGCACCACCCGGGGGTCCGAAGACCAGTCCGTGGGTGAAGCGTCGGCTACCGCCACGATCCGTAGGAAACATAGGCCGATCTCCTCGGGCTCCTCGTAAGCGCAAGTCGCCCGGAATGATTTGGCTGTCACCACTTGGCACCGAATCGAAGGGTGTGGTAGAGGAATAGTACACGCCACTTCCGCGTCGAAGGCGTCGCGAATGCTAAGAGACCGCAGGTGGAAGTTGACCGTGTGATCCGCACTTGCAAGCCAAGGCATTCCCAGAATGATGTCGAAGTCCATGTCGAGAATATCGAATGTCACCGGTTCGCATGCATGAGGTGCGAAATAGACCGGTACGGCCTCGATGTAACGGTCGAGAAGTTGCTGCGTCTTTCCATCTCTTGATCGCCGTCGGGTTTGCCTTCCTCCGAACTTGTGCGCCAAGGTCAGCCCTTTGCATAAAGGATTGGCTCATGAAATTGCGAGACGCGCCGCTATCCAGCAAAGCGCTGCAGGACACTTGCCCAACTTGAATGCGGACATACATGAGCGGTGCGTTGTTGTCATCGTACCGCTGCGTGCGAAACGCGCGGGCCACCTTGGTAGTATACGTAAGGATGTCCCCCACCGCGACTTCGTCATCCGTCGCCGAAGTTGGTGGTGCATAGAAGGATAAGTACGTGTGGAGATGAGCGCATAGTGTTGCGCATTGCGGTCCCGACAAGCGGCCTGTGGTCTGGAGAGGAAGCCATGCAAAGTCCTCGGACGTGAGCGGGTCCAATACCTCTATGTTGAACTCGCGCGCCGAATCCCGTGAAGAACCACTTGAAAACGATAAGTCGCCGCTGCCGGACGGAGAAGATGCCGCACACACGTCTTGTCCTTGAGCTCGAGTACCCAGCGTAGGAACGAGCCGGGCAGCATAGTCCTCAAAAGAATAAGTAAGAGGAGGACTATCGACTTCCGCGTGCGCCTCGGAATGAAGGTCGGTTACTCGCGAAGAAACCGGTTCTGGAGGCGTCGAGAGTGTTGTCGAGTCACTCTCGGCGGTGCTCAGTTTCCCTGTTTGCCCTTGCCTTTCAATGGGCAGGCCAGTGTCTGATGAAGGTCCCTGTTGCACCATAGGCAATAGTGGAATCTCGTGCGCGCCTTGAATGCTTGCTCGGAGATGCCGTATTGGGACCAAGGGGCTGGAGCTGCTGCGCTGGGCCCGGGGCTAGATGCGGTGTGTGTCTTCGTCTTGCCGCGTCCTCGGCCTCTGCCGGGGTGGCCACCTTCCCGGGCGGCTGCGAGTCTGTCTTCTTCATTGGCAGACGCAGCCTCGCTAGTTTGGTCAAACGGCGTTGCTGCCGCGACCACGGCCACTCTTGGCCGATGCTGGTCTCTGCTCAGGCCTGCCGCAGACGAACGCAGGTTCTTAGCTTCCTTGTTCGTAATGATAATCTGCGCGGCCTTGTCAAAAAGTTCCGCCTTCGTTGTCAAGGTGTCCTCGACGTGAGTCAGGGCATTGCTTAATGTCGGACATAACCTTGAGGTGAAATAGTGGCGGATGGCTTTGAAGCCCATCTGGATGTCTGGGACTGACGTCAAGCGTTGGTACTCGGCGATCCAGTCCGTACTCGGCCGCGTGCCTTGTTCGAAGACCATGAGCTTGTCCATAGCCTTGATCTCCGGCGGCTCGACTTGGAACCGCTTGTGACGCCGCCTTCAGATCATCCCAGCTGATCTTGGTGTGCAAGTCGTTAGCTACCACTCCGTACTTGGACAAGAGATTGTCCAACCAAGCCTGGCACGCACCCCCTGAGCGAGAGTACAAGTATGCATGGTGCTTGTGTTCTTTGACGTTGTGTAGCTGCAGCGTGAGCTCGAACTTGCGGAACCATGGAATCGGATCTGTCTTCATTGAGTCGCAGAAGATCTCCTGCCCGTCAAACTTTGGAGCTGTCTCGCGCGGTTCCGAACTTGAGGTATTGGCGGTAGTACAGATCCGTTGTTCCAGCTGTTGCGTTGCGGTCTGCTGTAACTGCACGCCGTCCTTCAGGGAGCCGACGTCCATCTCCAATGCTTCGAGGCGATCGGAGGTGTTGGAAGAGCTTGCGTCGGGGGCAGCGACAGGTCGCTGCTCCAGCTGCCGGAGGCGGCCTTGGACTTGAGCTAGCGAGTCGTCGAGGCTATGGATATCCTCCTGCTGTGTAATGCATGTCGCCAGGAGGTCTATGAGATGAGAGAGGAGGAGAGCGATCTTGTTTTCGCTATCCTCTAGCCTGCCATTCTCGGCCTCGGTCCGCCATTCCGCTGACATTGTGAGCGATCTTGTTTTCGCTATCCTCTAGCCGCCAAATATCTTCTCACGACGCTGAATTCTTTCTTCACCGGCAGCCTTTGCTGCTGCCTCGTCATGCTGGCGCTGTTGTTCAAGTGACAGCAGACGTGCCTGCTCAGCGTCCTCTGCCTTCTTCTTCGCTGCTGCTGCTGCGTCATCCGCCCGTTTCTTTGTTTCGGTACTCCAAGCCAGCATCCGGGCCTGATAGGCCTCGTCTGCTTCTCCGGACCTCTGGTCCATGACGGCTGTTTGTGACCGCAACAGCATATACCAGGCCGGGGGCCTGCTGACGTGGTATTTCCTGCTTTGTCGGCTGACATGTCCTGCCGACGTGGCCTGCTGACGTGGCCTGCTGACGTGGCCTGCTGACGTGGCCTGCTGACGTGGCCTGCTGACGTGGTCTGCTGGCGTGTCCTGCTGACATAGTCTGCTGACGTGGCAACTCACCAATGCCGTCGCAGGGGGTACCCGGAGATGGATAGAGAAGGTAAGGACAGAGGGGGCAACAACATAGGTGGGGAGGGTGAGTGGGGAGAATCGCCCAGATAAAGAGCCACTAATCAAAAAAAGAAAAGTTTGAACTTTGCAAAAAAAATTCGAAATAATAAAATCCCGAGTTTTGCAAGTTTAGTAGGTCTCCCAACCTCCTTTGAAGTGCGAAATGATCAATGAGAGAGAAAAAAAAATTCGACTTAAGACTGCAAATGATTTATAGAATTGACTGACAGAATCCTAGAACTGCGAAACAAATTTCCGAAAAAAATGACAAGTATTCGGATTTTCTCAGATGAGAATATTCGCAGTTTGGAAACTAATATCTGCAGGAGGGATTTCCCGTACCGTTTTCAGAAAAACGAAATTCGAAAAAGAAGATATTCCGAATTTCTAAGTAACGGGAAATGCAACACGAAGTCGAAATTTTCAAAAAGAAGAATATTCCGGATTTTCAACAACGAAATTTCAAATTTTAGGAGGAAAAACGAAAATGGGAATTTCAAATGTTACGCTATTACGATTTTTCACAACAGAATAGCGAGAAAACAAAATCCAAGAAAATAAAACAAATTTCGATTTTCGGCAGTAAGGTCAAAATCGTGATCTTGGGGTCTCACTAGTGTGCTCTAATCAATCAGTAAAGATTAATCAGCTATCTAGTCCCCTCACACGTGTCAGATCAGGTTGTCCTGATTCACGTGCGGCGTTCCCATACCAACTGTTACATGCCCAGTTGGGCGATGTACATAGAAACCGAGGATCCGCAATGTGATGAAAAGGACTGAATGGACAATGCAGTGCAAGTAGAATCTCAACAAGCAATGTGCATTCTAATACATACAAAATGGTGCTGAATAGCACAGGGAAGACTTACATACAAATCCTGACCTGACCGGGACTGACCTCATTCACATAGTATTAGATAGCGAAGCAGAATGCTAGAATGCTAATGACTAGCCCAATCGATGTTTGAACGCAGACCAAACATACATCGTATCCATCACAAGGTGTGAAGGAGCCTGGCGCTGTACACAGGAAGAAAGCGTCAGGTCCAGACACACACATACGAAGAGGAGGGAATCAGACGAAGAGGAGAGGGAGAGATGGGAATGTCGTCATCACCAAGTCTTTGTCGCCAGTCCCAAATAATCCCTTGTTACAATGTCTAAAGTCCAAAAGTTGAGTCTGGATCCAATGTCACCAAGCTCTTTCTCTCTTCTCTCGTAGTCTGCAGATGCAGTGAAGTCAGATGATGAGAGGGTGAAAGGAAGATGGTCGACTGAGAAGAGGAAGAAGAAGAACTCTCTCTCTGTTACGAGCCAGGACTAACCTGTGATGTTGGCGCTGTGCTGCAGGTGCCTCGAAGACGAAGCTGGAGCAACGGCGCTGCAGGTAAGTACCTCTGGCCTCCGCCCAATCTCTCTCTCTCTCTCTAGTGCTATCCTAGCTATGGCGCCCAGCGCTGGAGACTACAGCTAAAGGCTAACGCTACTACTACCCTGCAGCGCTCCCTCCAGAGTTCTGCTGCCGAATCCTGAAGACTACTACTGCCTCCTGCCTGCTTGTGAAGTGCATGGGAAGTTCCTATGTACTCCCTCGGCCTGCCTCCTGACTGCCTGAAGGGCGAGCCAGGCCGAGGAGGCTGCTCTTGCCAATGCCGAAGTGCGCCAGGGGCTGGAGCTGCAGCAGCTGCTGAGGCTGGCGTGGGAACAAGCTAAGAATAGCCTGTTCCCGAAACCCTGGTTGGGTGCCTGAGTTTCCGGGCCGGTCGTTCTGATGAACGACTGAAAATAGCCCTTCGTTTCAGGCTAAAAAGGCTATTGCCATTTTGAGTCTAGAACGACACAGGGACTGTAGGCCCCTGTTTTCAGGCTTTCGGGCTGAACAGTTGCGGGGCCTGTAGGCCCTGGTTTTCAGGCTTTTAGCCTGAATTTCAGGCTTTCAGCCTGAGGGACGCAAGGCCTGGAAAATGGCCCTCGTGTGCAGGCGCAGCATGTAACAGGGATGTCGCGTCATAAACCACAAAAAAATAAAAACAAAAATTTGCGGCCGTGCAGGGCCTCCGAAAAAAAAAAAAAGGGGGGAGGTTAGTTTTTTTGTTTGTGTGTGTGTGTGTGTGTGTGTGTGTGTGTGTGTGTGTGTGTGTGTG